GGCAGTGCAACAACAAAGGTGAGGACAGTACAGATACACGTGCGCAGATGAAAACGGACACATGCACACAGAGCGACGTCACACACACACACACACACACACACACACACACACACACACACACACACACACACACACACACACACACACACACACACACACTAACACGCCCCTCGCTGCGTGTGCAGGTGATTGTGCCTGGAGAGACAATGGCCATTTCGTTGGCGGAGGAGGAAATCGGGCGGTACACAACCCCGCAGTACCGTGCACCAGAAATGATCGACCTATATCAGAAACGCACCATCGACACCCGCGCTGACGTCTGGGTACGCGACTTGAAGAGAAAGGAGAGGGGTTCAGTGTTGTTTGTGTGTGTGTGTTATGTGTGTGTAATATGTGTGTGTGTGTGCGCGCGTGCGTGCGCGCGCGTGTATGTATAATGTAATGTGTGTGTGTGTGTTTGGTGAAGAGAGGGGTGTGATTTGGCCTTGTCATGGTGTGGTTTGAAACATTTCTGACACCTCGTCACTGGGCACATTTGTGTGTGTGTTCACAGGCGCTGGGCTGTCTGCTGTACAAGCTGATGTTCTTCGCTGATGCGTTTGAGGACTCCACGCTCTCCGTCCTGAACGGCCGGTGCGGGCACTGTGTTGTGCGTGCTGTGCTTTGTGCTTTGTGCACTGTGTTGTGCGTGCTGTGCTTTGTGCTTTGTGCACTGTGTTTATGTGTGCTGTGTGCCGTGTTTTGTACTTGTGTTGTGTGTTGCGTGTTGCGCATGTCGTGCGTGTTGTGCGTGTGCACCCGAGTTTCGTGACTGCTGTGTTATTGTGTGCTCACAAGATACTGCATGTGCATGCGACTGCCAACAGATACAAAATCCCGGATGATCACTCGTTCTCGCAGGAGCTCATGGACCTTCTTGGTACGCGAACACACACACACACACACGCATGGTGCAGGTGGTGCATTTATGGTGCACACATTTGGAGCATGTTGACACTCAACCCATCAGTATGCACAAACAAACATGAAACACACAAGCGCACACATCCAGCGCATCGCCACTTCGGCACCTCCTCCACTATGCTCACACGCTTGTTCTGCACATCGCTCCCCAATTTGTAGCGTCGCTGCTTGAGCTTGATCCAGACAAACGAATCACCGCGCCAGAGGCGTGCAGGGTGAGTCACTGATGTTGTACACACACACCCACACCCACACCCACACCCACACCCCCCCACCCCCACACACACACACGCAACCAATGCCGTTCTCGTGGTGCCCACGTGCGCTCGTGACGGACATTTTACCAGCCAATTCGACACGTTTCTTATGCATCATGTACCACTCACACCACACCCACCCACCCACACACATACCCACACACACACACACACACACACACACACACACACACACACACACACACACACACACACACACACACACACACACACACACACACAACACGGCCTTCAGCGGTGCTTTGAGCTGCGCGACATAAAGTGTCCCCTCGTGCTCCCTGCGCGCGGAGACAGACACTCAACGTCACCAGCCGCAGCCACCTCACACCACCGTGACCGCGCCCACGAACATCAACACCAGCATCAGCATCAACAGCATCAACATCGTCATGCCGACAAGGGTGCAAGGCGGACAACACCATCGCCGCACGCCTGCATCTCTTCTCCACAGACACCGCCCGTGAGTGAACACACACACACACACACACTTGTGTGCATCATGCTCATGAACCTTAAGTTTGCGTGCGTGTACGAGCTTGGTTCCTTCTGCTGTTCCTCTCCTTCCTTTCTTCTTCTTCGTTCTTCTTCGTTCTCCTTCATGGCAATCCACAGCTCATCTTCTCTCCCCACCCTGCCTTGATCCACAATACACTCACGCCATTATTGCCTTGTTCTCCCCCCCCCCTGAATCACCACAGCAACCCGCGGATCCGTTTGCATCAACGCCTGCCCGCGTCCCCATGGGTCGCATACACCACCACGAGCACAACAAGCATAACAGCGACGACCAACACCAACACCAACACCAACACCAACACCAACACCAAGAACAGCAGCAGCAGCAACATCAGCAGCATGACGCGATACAACGACCCTCGCGCAAGGGCCACGCTCGTTCCGCCAGCAACCCGTTTGCCAACCCCATGCACGACGAGCCAGAGTGGCCGACGACACCAGAGGGCCAGGTCATTCGTGCAAATGCACACGCGCACGCACACGCACCGCAGACGGCGCCGCCAGCAGCCCACGCCCGCAAGGCACGCACGCTCGCGAAGGCAGCATCGGTTGATGCGGCGAGTGCACACGCGGTGGATGGTGAAGCCGCATTGGGGTTTGCCACGCCGCCGTTTGCTGCCGACCACACGCACACGCCTGCGACTGCGATCGCGAACGGAGAAAAGCGCCGCGCACCCAACACAGCGATTGGCATCCGGCACAAGCGACAACCGAGCAACCCGTTTGAAGCGGCAGCCAGG